TAATAAAGAACTAACAACCAGATCGTTTTCTATTTTTATTTTTTTATTTTTTTATTTTTTTTTTTTTTATGTTAGGTATTAAATTAAAAAAGAGTTACTATTAAGAAGTAATATGTGTGTCATGAGAGAAGTAAAGACAATAAAGAACATAATGAGGAAAAGTTCAAGATTTGGAACATATTACATAAGTTCTCTGTCATGCTGAAGTTTTTTATTATTAGACTGATTACCAAAATATGTGTAGATAAAGAAAGAAATGATAATAAGATAGGTTATATTCCAGATAGAATACACTAGAATCTACTCAAAGCTGAAAGGAGAATGAAAAGTGAAAAATATGAATAAATAAGTAAACTGTAAGGGTACAACTGATGTCATATACAATAATAGAATCATATATTAAATCTATCTACTATATGTGAATAAGAGAAATATAAAGGTCCGATATTAATAATTGTGATAAGTAATTATAATGTTCTATGCTAATGTTTATCGACCTAATATGCAAGTGCGAAGAGTGTCGGCCTTGTTGTTGAGGCGGAGCACTTCTTACAACACAAGTAAAGGTAAGTCTTTAAACATAACTATCTACTATATGTAAATAAGAGAAATATACAGGTCCGATATAATAATTGTGATCAATAATTATACTGTTCTATGTTAATGTTTATCGACCTAATATGCAAGTGTGAAGAGTGTCGGCCTTGTTGTTAAGGCGGAGCACTTCTTACAACACAAGTAAGGGTAAGTCTTTAAACATAACTATAATTACCGATTATAATAGTCAAAAGAGGAACAATCTACTTATTGATTTGTTTATCTTTTCTTCTCATTAACCTTAGATATATATAAGTTTCTTATATTTTTTTTTTTTTTTTTTTTTGAAAGAGAGAAAAGAAAAATAAATAAATAAATAAAAGAAGAAAGAAAAAAAAATATATATATATAATAATAAATAAATTACATGTGAACATTGTTATTATATCTTTTCCTTTTTATTTAGTGCTATCCGACTACCTGAATTGTATGTTTTATGTCATTAATTGAATTCCCTAACATTCTGTTGGTTAAAATACTTTCTTTTATAACACGTCGTCTCCAATCTGACTCTAATGCAAGTGTTTGTACATTTGAAAAATCGAATTTATGCTTCTCTTGCAAAATATGTTCAACTAATTTTGAATTATTCGACAGATTTCTTATATTTGCTTTATGCTCATTAATACGAGTCTGTTTTAGTCGACTGGTTTCACCTATATATACTTTCTTACAATCATTACAAGGAATAGAATATACTAAATTTTTCAGTTTCTTATTTTCATCTTTTCCTTTTAGTTTTGGAAGAAAAATAGTCTTAAGGCTTAAATGCTTTTTAAAGGCGAATTGAATGTTAATATTCGGAATTAGTTTTTTACAAATCTTCTTAACTCGACCTGCGAATATCATCGATTCATGTCCGTAGTATCTTATAGTGAAGAATATTTTTCTTTTGTTTTCATCTGTAGTTCGGTTATTCTGAGATGTTCGGTTTACGAGTATTTTTCCTTCTGTAATTCCTCTTTTTATTATATGTGTTGGATAACCATTATTTGTTAATGTCTGTTTCAATAGATCTATTTCTTTCTTTATTATGATCTCTGTCGAGCAAATTCTATATATTCGTATCACTAAGGTCCTTATTAATCCTAACTTATACCGGCGACTCTGACTACTGTCCCATAACATATATAAACCTGTGTGCGTTGGTTTACGATAGGTGGAGGTAAGGAGTTGATTATTTTCTCTGGTTACCAGGACATCAAGGAATGCTAATGAGTTGTCTTTCTCTAATTCTAATGTGAAGCGTAAATTCGTATGCCATTTATTAATTCGATTGTGAAACTCATCGATTTTTGTTATAGAAATGGTAAATATACAGAAAATATCATCGACATAACGTAGCCAAACTATAGGTTTATTAACTGTAAATTTATTTAGCTTTTGCTCCATTTTTTGCATCCAAAGATCTGCTATTATTGGGGCAAGTGGGTTGCCCATAGCAACTCCATCAATCTGTTTATATATTTTTTCTTCAAAGCGGAACGGGGCATTTTTAAGTGATAGATTTAGTAATGTTTCAAGTTGTACTCTGTTGAAGGGAACATCTATTCGTTTATTAGGTTTAAACATAAAATCTAATGCGATTTCTATAGCTTCTTCAACTGGAACGTTTGTATAGAGACTCTCGACATCAAAACTACACATTATGTAATTCTGTTCCTTGCTTAGAATTGTATTTTTTATCTTTTTCACGAATTCAAATGAGTCTTTTATGTAAGAGTTAGCCTGTGGTCGCGCTTCTCTTATAGCTCTTGCCAGGTACTTTGACAAGTGATATTGATAGCTACCTATAGTAGATATTATCGGACGTATTGGGTATCCGTTTTTATGAACTTTTGGAAGACCATAAAATACTGAAAGTGACGAGCATGTAGATTGTAGATGATAACGAAGTTTACTATCTATTACTCCTTGTTGAAATAATGTGTATATATATTTGTTCAACGTTTCTTCTTGCTCTCGATGAAATTTATCACTATTTAATTTTTGGAACTGCTTGCCTTTTAATATTTCTTCTGCTTTTTCTTGATATGATTCTTTGTCTAGTATTATTATAGAATTCCCTTTATCTGCTTTACAAATGACTATTTTATCATTAGATTTTAGTGATTTCAATGCTTTTAATTCATCATCTGATAGATTACTGATCTTTTTATGTCTAGATATACGCATGAGTTGTTGTGACGCATTATGTATATGACGACAAAGTAATCTAAACACTGATGTATGACAATGAGATTGCAATTTTATCGAGTTTAATTCTATATCTGTTTCGAATTCTAAAAAATTGCTTATTTTGTTTTCTACGCAAAAATCCCAACCACGACATAACAAACGCTCTTCTGATACAGAGAGGACGTATGATGAAACATTATGTATTAGTTTAGTTTTCATCTCCTCATAATTTTGTCCAATAGGTCCATTATTAAGTTTCTCAAGTTTGTTCTGATGAGTACGCATAACACTTTTATGAATTCGACAAGCTGAATCATGACAAAGTTTTTTCACATTAATGTAATCAATTGATGAAAGATGTTTTTCTAGATCAGTCAGAATAGATGTTACTTGTTTTTCTAGTTGTCTAGCGTGTTTTTGTTTAAATTCGAATTCACGTAAAAGACAATTACGCTGAAGAGACGTATATTCTTCTGTTTTCTTTAAACCTGGCTTCCATAAACGTATATTAACGAAAATAGGCATTAGATTATATATCAAACAACATCTAAGAAATTCCACATCGCATTTTGCTTTTTGCGATTTTTCTGTTAATCTTTCACAACGTCGTATACTTACCAGCATCGATTCGCCATATTTCAGGCGAAGATTGGAAATAAATTTAGGAGAAAGTGCAGTAGGAAATAGATAACTTAAAAAGAAAGAGATAACTGCAGTAAATATCATGATTTTTATTTCATACAGAAAAAAAAAGAAGAGACTCAAGCTTTCGTATACAATTCATGTATACATCGTCAGGAATGACAATATAATATCATGTATTGTATTTATATATCAGGTCAAAAGAAAAGCAAAAATACATCAAAGTAACACTTCAATAAGTGTAAGAACAGTTATGTACGATCAAATGATCAATGTCGGTCAGAATGATCAAACAGACCGACGAGTTATTCAACATGCAGTCGTTCTTTTTTTAAATATTTCATTAGAAAAGCATTGGTGTATAAAGATTTAACCAAAATCTCCTCCTATCGTTCATATTAATAATCTCTTGCGATAACGAATTAATCACGTTTGCGTCCTTTCTTTTAATATCTTAATTAAAATTGTTGGAATACTTCACAACTAAAGAATGAAACATACGATATATGTATCATCTTAATGCATTAGACACGAAAAAAAAGACTATGAATTTTAATAAAATTGAAGTTTTATTATCAAAATGAGATATTCATCTAGATTCTAATCGATATAGTAAAAATTTCATATATTGAATTTTTTTCATTATTTTGTGCAAAAAAGAAATTAAAAATTGAGATATGGTCGAATTAATATTCTAAAATTGAAGCATTTTGATGGCTTCTTTATATGATATCATTAATATCAGACAAATTCATATACACTCCAATCTTTCTTATAATAACAGGTTGTCCATATTGATTTTGATTCAATATTAGCAAAAAGAAGTATTTTTATTTATTTATTTTTACTTATCTTTACATAAAAAAATGAATATGAATTTCAACCACTATTATCAACATGAAATAATTATGTTGATTTCATATGACAGCATTAAAAAGAAATATTTATATCAATTTCAAATATTGTTATGAAACTGAAAGATGTGTATTGATTCTATTTTGTAATATATAAAAGGAATATGGAAATCAACTACATATTTATGTATATATTTAATTGAAGCATGAATATTGAAATTAATTTATTTATGTCGATTGTTTTTTATATGATCAACACCAACTATTTATTGTAATACAAATCAATACTTTACACTTACGTCTTTGTAATGGTCCTATGTGATGCTGATAAAATAAAAAACTTATATACATTCCAATGAATATTATAACAATCAATTATTCACAAGAATTATATTTTATATCATGAAATTGAAATATTTCAAATATTTATCTTCATTTTATCTTCTATCAATCAAATGAAAAATTGATGTAAGTTGCAAATCATTTTGAAAAATTATCTATTCATATTTCATTCGACTAGAAAAATCAACTACTTTTTTTCCATTTTTTTTCATTATGTGTACATAAAGAATGAATATGATTTGCTACTAATATTAACAGCATGAAGCAATTATTTTTTTCCATTCAATATCATGAAAGGAAAATATTTAGACGTTTATTTTTATTCAGAATGAATCTAATGTATGAACGAAAGGCAGTGACAAGAAAAAAAACTATATTTGAATGACTTCAATCGATGCCGTACATTTGTTTTATGTTTTTATTGGATTGATCAATGATTTTGGTTGTGTTCAAATTTTTTTTTCGTAAAATGTTGACAAGGTGTTGTGCTGTGTATGTTATACCACTAATAGGATTGTATTGTTTAGATTCTAGTATAGATGGTTTCAAAAAGGGAAAATCTGTTTCAAGAATAATTTTATAAATAATATTTTCTATTGATACAAGCCATTTATGAAATAAAGTTTGAGATTCAAGATCATCATGAGAGAAAATAGAACAATTTAAACCGATATAAGAATTTTTGAAGTAATTAAGAAAAACTGTAATTACATTAAGATCACTTTTTTGATTAATACAATGCCAGTGAATTCTATGAGTTGGATTTAAATGTAATTTTAATTCATTGAACATTAAATTAAATGACGCTATACCACGACCATGTAAAACTACAGGTAAACTAAGTTGTGCTGCTAATTTTAATTGCATTTTAAACAAAGTCAATTGTAATTCGAATGAGAAACTACTTGTTGAATCAAGTCCACATTCACCAATTGCAACTTTTTCCGTAATAATATTACTATATTTATTCATGAAAATGTTTTTTAATTCTTTAACTACATATGATATATCTGATGGTAAATATTTGGGATGAATTCCATAAGTGGTGAATATTTTAACATTTGGATTGTCCAGGTGATAATCCGTGAACCAACGATAATATTGATGTTTATTGTCAATGAATATCATTTTTCTTCCATTGGCAAATTGAGTATCGAAGTCATTTTTATTAAATTCATAACGAAAAAAAAGATCGATATGACAATGCCCATCATACAATGGTAATGGTAATGGTAAATGATATTTATTTTTGCACGAGCATTTGTTATAAAGACTATTTTCACAAATAGCATTCATTTTCAACAAAATCAGATTGAACGACCATAAGAAATTAACAAAAGAAAAGAATAGAAAATCGAAATCAAGCATTTTATATATTCATTCTATGATCACGACCCTGTATGAGATTAGTCAAAGAATAAAGAAGGCTAATAATGATCATGATCAATCGTTCATTTTTTACGCATTCAAGTAAAATATGATTATGAGAAAATTGGATATTTGCAGTCATATATATCTTTCTTTAATCTCTCCTTCAAACTAATATGTGCATCAATCATATTCACTCATAATTAAGCAAATTCTATTATTTTTCACAAGTAAACAGAATAATAATAATGACAATAAAATAATTTTTGTTTTTTAATAATAATTTTTATCTCTTAATAAATATAAATAGAGATTGATATGTTTTTTTTAATTTTGATTACTTTTATTATAAATAAATTAATAAATAAATACTTTAAGCTGGGAAAAATAAACAAAAGAAAAGAAGAAAAAAAGAAAAAAAGGGGGAAATAAAATAAATAAATAATTTTTACACGACGCCTTTTGGATTATCCTTCTCAAACGAATCTCCGTTTTTAATTACAATCCCCATGTCGGGTTTTTCGGTGGTTGTCTGTAATGCATTATACTGCATTTTTAACTGTGTATGTTCTTTTTTAATTTATGATAATTGTAATTAATCCATTATAATGCATTTTTCGAATGTATATGTTCTTTTGATAATTATAATTAAAGCATTTTAATGCATTATTTAGACACAAGCTGAGATAGAATCTAATAGATTGATTTTTAATGCACTACAATGCATTATTTTTCAACAAGCTGCGATATAAGGCATTACGTTCAATTTCAATGCATTAAAATGCATTGTTTTTGAATAAGCTGGAATAGACGGTAATACACTGACTTTTAATGCATTATCAATCGAAGATATTCTACGATTTCCTATTAATCATATGTTAGTATTATTCTATCAAGTGACACCTTATCAGATTCCTTATCCTGTATATCTTCACCTTCGATAATGCTTCCAGCTGTGGATGTGGGTGTCGGTGAGGCTGAATCTGGATGCGGGTGTCACTTGATAGAATAATACTAACATATGATTAATAGGAAATCGTAGAATATCTTCGATTGATAATGCATTAAAAGTCAGTGTATTACCGTCTATTCCAGCTTATTCAAAAACAATGCATTTTAATGCATTGAAATTGAACGTAATGCCTTATATCGCAGCTTGTTNTCTTAGACAAAGTCTGTTTTCATTTTTTTCAATATGAGCATTTTGTTTCTTTAAGAGACGCCCCCACACCCACACCCACACACACACCCACACCCACACCAACACCCACACTCACACCCACACCCTGCCATGTATAAAAAGTGTGTGTATGTTTTTTTAATTAATCCCATATTCTCAGAGTGCAGATAGATTTTATCATCCGATACATTGGCAGAGATGCCGATATCAGAAGACGTTTCAGATATAAAATATTTGCATAAAGGGTGTGGGTGTTACTGTTATCGTTGACACGTATATCCACATCCACACTCATACCGACATCCCTCATACGAATAACTAATAACTTGTTTAATATCTGTTCGATCAATCTTATTTTTGCTCATAACGGAACATTCTGACGTGTATCCGAGTGCTATTTCCCTTTTGTTTTATAGATCGGTATTTCCATATGATTTCAAACATACTGTACGAAAATAATCTTTAATTTCGATGGAACTTCCAGTATTCGTAAAGCTTTGAATTCTGAGCATTTTGATAAAAAAATTTCTCAACGTTTTTGTTTCGGTGAAGATATGTTTAACATACTGTTATCGGTAAAAAACAAAAAGTCCTCAAGAAAATATTTTTTTTAATCAAAATGCTTAGAATTAAAAACTCTACAAACACTAATAGTTTCAATGAGATCGGAGACCAGGATGTGACTATGACTGTAAATGTGAATATTATTTCCATTTTATGTGCATCTCCCACCCACACCCACCCATATTGTAAGCTGTTTAACACATAAATAGAAGTTGTCATTGACACAATATGGAATATTTGTTCGATCTCAAAGTCGATATTTGCTATTGGTGAAATTTTCAGATATATATGCTTCTGAGAGAACATCCAAGGATATGTTAGAACCATTTGCCACAAAAAATGCAACTTCACTCTGATTCACTTTCATCATACGATAAGTAGTAATAGAAGCGAACGGCAAACTAATATCTTATGTGAATATCAACAAATGTTCTTCACTGCAACGTAAGTATGAAGAAACGACTTTCATTTGTGTATTTGCATGTCATTCATAGTGCGATGAAATATTATTTATTGATGCTATTTCTTTCTATTAATTTACATGGATGGACAATTGCTAATGTCAGAACCGACAACGACGATTCTGATTCACTATGGTACACGGATCAAGGCAATTCTCAAAATACTTATCACATCGAACCATCGATGCCAACCAATTATTCCAACATATCGTGGACCTATGAATACAACTTGACATCACAAGATCTCACTCAATTTGGTCTAGGTGCTGGTATTAATGGTGATGTTTACTTTTTCCTGAGTCTGTCAAGATATCATACAGGCAAGTTATTACACTTGATTTACATAATATTGAGAGGTTTTGATTTAATCATCGTTTGGTTCTGGTTGCTAGCTTTTACTTTTACGATGATGGATATCGTTTTATCTCTTTCACAAAAATTGTTCGATAATATATCTAAGCATACAACAAGGCCTAGCAGAATAGCAAAACAATAGATCATACTTTACCTTAAAATGTCTTAGTTAGCAGATTTTTAGAAAGGAACTGCTTTAAATCAATAACGATAATGTTCTCTTTGCAGCTGATTTTCTCATTTGTCTAACTCCAAATGGCATTGTTCGCTGGAAGATCTTTCTTGAGCCCGTACCAGACATGTTGCCAGTTGGTATTTCTAACATTGTTTCTGATCGACAAGGAGTACTTTTCTATACGGTTTCATGGTCAGGTGATGAATATTATACAGCAAAAATCTGTCGAATCACAGAAGCTCAAACTCCGCATCCTATTCAAGAATGTATCGAAAACTATCAACTTTACAATGATATTATTACTCCATTGGCATTGAATGAAAAATATGATATTTTGGTAACGGCTGTAACCGATGATGAATTTGAATCTGTACCAGCCGCTTTGAACAAAACGACATTGGCTATGCAATGGATAAATAGGCATTTTTTTGGTGCTGGCGCGACTGGACACTATCGCTGTCATACGAATACAGGTGATATATTGTGGATAGGTGGCGATCGTAATCTATTGAAATTTAAGTACAACGGACAGAATCTTATCAACAATTATACACAACCTAACGATGCTGGCATAAATTTTGTTTTAGACAAGCAAAAGCAAATAATTATACGACCATGGCAGAATATGACTGATTTGCCATGGAAGTTTGTTGTTTCATCGTATGATGTGTCAACACCAAAAATTAAAATACGTTGGAATTGGTACCCACCATCGTCGATTGTTGCAAACGATGATATGACATCGCCTACTATAGATGATAAAGGCACCGTTTATATGTCTAGTATGCCTCTCGTATTTGCTATTGACAATCTGGGAAAAACAGTATGGACAAGTAAATTAGCAACATCAAGCGAAATGAAAACGTTTCAATTAATTTCTTATTGCATTGCAATGAATTTAAAAAGACGTACTCTTTACGTAGTATCTGGTTCTCCAATTTTTCAGAAAACTAAATTTCTCTATTTCATTACTGCTGTCAATATGGATACAGGCAAGGTAATTAAACGTATTGATGTTAGTATGGGAAGTAATAAATACATTACACCACAATGTCCAATCTTAATCGGTGAGGAGATGTTCTATTTTTCTTGGTTAACAGGGCAATATCCACAATCAGTACCTTTCAAAATAGCTGGCATCAAACAAGTCTAAGCATCAAATCAGAATAATTGTCTTAAAGCTTAGCTATGTTCGACAAAATGTAAAGCATTAAGATGAAGTATTAACAAGTGACACTCATTAAATTATGTGTTCGTGAATGTATTCATTTTATTACTACATATGAATGAATAAATATTGCCTGTAATTGATAATTCTTCAGTTCGTTCTTTGAATGGACGAGTATATAATTCAATCATTTGGTAATGACCAATTTCGATTTCTATCTTTATGCATTTGTACGGTGATGTCAGATGAACTTAAAAAATACAAAATTTAGAAATAGTAAAATAGTGCAATAATATGGAAAGTTTTCTTTTCTTTTTTCTTTATTTTATTTTATTTTAAATTTTAAATTGAACAAATAGTAAAATTTTCGACCATTGACGGTTTTTCACAAGCTATTGAATGCGGTCATCATCAGTACTAATCTATAACTAGGGTGTGGTTGTGGTTGTGGGTGTGGGTGTAAGTGGCTGTGGTAGGGAACTGCAAACTGGCCCCGGTCTCGCCGGGATCGGGACCAAAATTTGACTTTTTTACGGGACCGGGACTAAACATTTTTCACATTGGTCCCGGCCAGTTTTTATGCAATATATTTTTACGTTTATTATTTTGACATGATTTAAGATCTGTAAATCAGAGGGTGTGGGTGTGAGTGTGGGCGCGTGTGGGCGCGTGTGGGTGTGGTGTGGGTGTGTGATGTGGATGTATGGGTGCGGCTTTTTCTCAGCCACATCCACAGCGAAACTCTTACACAAATGTTTCATTCTCGCTGTTAACGACTCACTGATTCTTCATGGATAAACTTTCGAAGCACGAAAGCATCCTCTTTATTGCTTATCTTATGAAATTACCAGTTGAGTTATTTTGATACTTTTATCTTAATATTGACAATCGCGAAAAGAATATGAATAGAATACGAAACGAACGCAGAAAGCTAATCATGTAAATTGTAGACAAAATTTTACAAGAAAGAATCATTAAATCAATGAGACTGTGCACGATACATACACGTAAATACATTGGATAGAC